AATAAATAAATAAATAAATAAATAAATAAATAAATATTTGACCAAATACAGCAGGCTAATTTTTAAGCTGATAGTTTTATATGGCTCATCAATGATGTTATAAATCAGTGTTTCCCAAAGTGTGGTACACGTACCCCCAGGGGTACGGGAAGAGTTTGGTGGGGGGTATGCGTTGCACCGGAGCTTGGTGGGGATGTGCACTGCACCGTGCTTAGCTGCGCCTAATTCTACGTTCTCAGGAGTACGAGGGGTACTCAGCGTTACGAAAATTATAGAAGGGGTACACATATGTCAAAATGGCCCCTGGCATGTGCACACTCTACAGTACTACACAAACTCTTCGGTGATGGCACCGTTCGGTGTTTAATTAACAAAATCTACTGAATGAGGTCTAACATGGATTTGTCTTATGTCAAGTTTCATCCCAGGTCAAGTCTCATCCTACAACAAAGACTAATTTATCAGAGATGACAGTTTTCTACCTCCCAGCAACCTTATTAACGATTTATTAAAGTTGACTGTATGGTCCACGCCAGGGAGTAAATGAAATTTAATTCTCAAAGACACTATCCTGCCAGCTTAAGACGCATAGGAATTGAGACAGAAAACCCTCAAGTTTTATCAGGAGACCCAAGGAGCTTTTGCCTTGATGTAAAAGCAGCTTTCAAAACTGCAAACTGCCCTAACCGGTTTGGCTCAGTGGATAGAGCATCAGCCTGCGGACTCAAGAGTCCCAGGTTCGATTCCAGCCAAAGGCACATGCCTGGGTTTCCTCAGTGGGGGGGGGGGGGGCGGGGGGGGAGCAGGAGACAGCCCATCAATGATTCTCTCTCATCATTGATGTTTCTCTCTCTCGCTCCTTCCTCTCTGAAATCAATAAAGAGATATATATATATTTTTTTTTTTTTAAATTAAAGCTTTCAAAACCCCCTTCCTTCTCCGTGGCTGACCGAAGTATGCAGCTAAACAGGGGAGTTCAAAACATTCGGTTTTTCTTTAAAACTTCAGGACTCTCTTTTGTTTAGTTTTTTAAATCACATACTGTCTTCATGCTTTCTTCTCCCCACTTGTTTCTACACCTTCAAAGTCAGCGAACACGACTTTCCTGGCAGCTGCACCGCCCGCTCGGGATGTGGCGTTGGGGAGAGGTTGGCAGGCACCAGCGGGCTGCAGGGGAAGGTGGCAGGGAGCGGAGACCATGGCGCTGCCCTCTGACCTTCAGACCAACCAGAGTGGCCCTCTAGTCCGAGGGCTCGGGGAGCCGCGGGGCCCAGAGGACGGGGACGAGGACGTGGCAAGCCAGGCATAAAGCAGTACCCCCCAGGCCCTAGGGCCGCGAGCCGCAGTTCGCCGGGAAAGCCCCGGGTCCCAGAGCGCGCAGGAGGGGAGCGGCGGCCTCCGCGCCCAGGGCCACGGGGTCCGCGCCGGCTCAGGCCCCACCGCCCCCAACTGGCAGAAACACAGGCCAGGAGCGAGGGAGAGCCCTGCGGCGCCGGGAGCGAAGCCTGAGGACAAGAAGAAAGCGAAGAAGCACGAGGCCGCTGAGAAAGGGGGGCGCTCCCCGGCACTCACCTTTCCTCCTCGAACCAGAGCCCGACGTTGCTGCAGCCGCCACTCACCCACCGGCTCAGCTCGCGCGCGCCAGCACCGCCTAACCGGAAGCGGCCCCTCGCCCCGCCCCTGCCGCCTGGCCAGCGGCCTCCCGACCAATCAACAACAAGCCCGCAGCTGACGCAGAGCTTCCTCGGGTAGCCATTGGCCCCACCGTAGAGTAGCCGGGATTGGCTGGAAAGCGCCACGTCCCCGCCAGCGCGCCTAGCTGCGTGGACCGAATTCCCGGCCGGCACTGGTCCCGAGCCCTGCGGGGACGACCGGCCCCAGCCCCTGCTCCGGGCGACGTGTGGGCGCGGCCGCCGGCCTCCGCGTCCTGCTGCTCACAGCGCCTGACCGGGTCTCGGCCGGGCTCTTGGGTTAGCCAGCTGGTTATCCTCGGTCCCGAGCACCTGGGGGTGAATGAATCCCACTGGGTTGTGAATGAAAAAGGGGCCACATGCTGAACCTGAGCAGCTCTGGGAAGGCCTCCATAGCGGGCCTTACAGACTCAGAGGCCAAAAGCAACCACAAGGGATAGTCTGGACATTAAAAAAAATCTAAAAGCGGGTCATGGTGGGTGATAGCTTCCTTGACAAAGGTCCATCTTTTTTTTTTTTTAATGTATTTTTATTGATTTCAGAGAGGAAGGGAGAGGGAGAGAGATATAGCAATGATGAATTGATCCGCTGCCTCCACGCCCCCTATTGGGGATGGAGCCCGCAACCCCCGCGTGTGCCTTGGTGGGTTATATATAGAACCTGACCTCCTGGTTCATAGGTCAACGCTCAAACACTGAGCCACACTGCCTGGCGACAATGGTCAATCTACCTTAACTGAGCCTATTGCTTTAAAACAATTTTTTTGTTTGTTTTCAGAGAGAGAGGAAGGGAGAAAGAGGGAGAAACATCAATTTGTTTTTCCACTTATTTATGTATTTACTGGGTGATTCGTTATGTACCCTGAGCAGGGATCAAACCAGAAACCTTCATGTATCCGATGATGCTCTTACCAACTGTGCTACCAGGCCAGGGTCTCTGTTGTCTTTCTGCATAGAAAATCACATACCTCTGAACTGTCCAAGTAATCTTTTCCAGACCCCCTCAATGCACAAATGTGGGTACCACAGCCCGAGATCACAGAACTCCTCATTGTTTTCTTGTTCCCCGCATATCATCTCTGTGTGCTGTAAATTTAATTATTAACTATTCTGAACCCACCAATGTAAAATTGTATGTTTTTCTCCTTGCTTTTTAGCCAATCTCAGAGATTCCCCAGTTTTATTCTCTCCCACTCCCCTAATCTACCACCAAGGAATTTCATATAATCCTCCTTTCATCTCCTCCTTTTATTCTCATGTATAAAATAAGCTACAGCCCTAGCTGATTTGACTCAAGAGTATTGGCCAGCAGACTGAAGGGTCTTAGGTTTGATTCCAGTCAAGGGCACATGCCCAGGTTATGGGCTCAATCCCCTGTGTGGGGCGTGCAGGAGACAGCTGATCAACGATTCTCTCCCATCATTGATGTTTCCATCTCTTTCTCCCTCTTTCCTCTTCTCTGAAATCAATAAAATATACTTAATAGAATAAATAAGCTACAAAACTGTCATTCTCCAGAGCATTTTCTCGATCCATTTAGATTTTGCTTTCTGGCAATTTGTTATCAGTAGCTCAAATAAATTCATAAAAATTGTTTACAGGTTTGAACATTTCTTATGCCAGAAGTATCAATCGCTAACTGTATTGAACAACCCCCACTTCTTTCCCGTTAGCACTACCTCCATGATGGGGTCTCCTGGAGCATGAGGAAAATGAGGGACAGTGAAAACCCAGAAGGAGCACTAGATTGCAGGGTTGGCAGGATGGAAAGATATTGGACTCGGGGAAAGATAGGAGGTGATAAAGCTGAAGAATGGGATTAGTGGATGGTTGACAAACTCGAGAGTAAAATCAGGGGAGTCAGTGGCTGAGGAGGGTGGAGGATGAGACCATTGGGCAGCAGTTCAAAGAACAGTGATCACGGGAAGGATCACCTGTGTGGCTGTCGAAATCACTAAGAATTAGAACTTGACGCTTCCTTGAAGCTTACATCTAGGAGCTTACTTTGTAGCCCTCCAACAATTTCAGTCTGAAAACCACTTCAGTGAAGAAAAAGACCCTCCTAGGAAATCTTGATTCAAAGCAAGATCTCCCAAAACACTTTGCAATTGGAAGGGTGGGCAACCTTTCTGAAATACTCATAGTCAGGTTTTTATTGAAGGTGAAATACTGCATGTTTTAGAAAGAGGCTGGTCCATGGGCCATCTGACAGACATTCATTAATAATTCTCTCGGTCTATAATGGATGAATCCCTGACTTAACCTGTGCTTGGAGCCAGTATCTCCTCTCTTTGGAATCAATCATCTAATAAGCACTAACAAGGTGTGTTGACATTTCAAGGGGGTGTCATATACTAAATAAATCGAGCGAGTGTAGGGCTGAGACATTAGCAAAGTTAGCAAGTTTGAACACAAAAGAGAAATCCCCTCTATCTCACACACCTCGCCTGACCACCTCCTGCAGGAATCGTGTGTAGCCTCACATCCAAGCCCCCATTTGGAACAACAGGGCCAGGCTAGCAAGACCAAGTTAGGGATGGGCTAAGAAAGAAGGTCCCAAACTTAAATCAGAAGAGCGGGACTAGCAAGAAAACCTGAGGGGATGGAGGAGGTGTAGAGGGTAGGGGGTGGGGGAGGGGATAAATGGCGATGGGGAAAACCACCCCAACTTTTGGAAATGAAGAAACATAAAAAAAGAAAAAGAAAAACTGGCCAACAGGGAAATGGAGAGGCCCTTGGCTAGAATTTATATCTGCCCCCTTTTACTCGCCCAGAGTAGCTTAAGCAGAGAAGAAAACACCTTTTTTGGGTATATGTCCTTGCTTTCAAGTTTTACATTAGATAAATAGAAGCTTGGTGAGGCATCTCTCAGAGGTATATTTCTTCTCTTGTTCTCCAGCTTTTCTCCCAAGTCTCTCCTGTTTCCTTTTCTTTCCACCTCTCCTCTCCCCCTCCTTCCTCTTCACCTCCATTTTGTTCTCTTCCACCTCTCCTCTGATCTTGCCTCCCTTTCCTTCCTTTTCTCTTTCTCTCGGTCCTGGCCCTTCCGAGAGCATGGCTTCCTGTGCCTGCCTGGCGGCGGAAAGGAGGTGAGGAGGTCACAGAGTTACGTGCTGGATAATGCTTTTCATCTGGAAGCCATGCCCCCAAATGAGTCTCCAAGGAAAGGCTCTGCTATCAGGGTGAGATGACGCTAGTTTTTCCTTAGTTGCAGCTTTCTCCTTCTCTCCATCCAGACAGAGTCCCTCAGAATGCTGCAGAGTGGTGTTGGCGAGGGCTGCTTCCATTCTCCCCAGTGTGAAAGGGTGGCTCAAATAGAATTTCCTGTTAATTTAAGAGAGAACAAATTCAATAAGACCTAACTCCCCTAAAAAGCTCTTCTGTGGGCACATAGATAGTTGTGTTAATTTTTTAAATTGTCAACTATTAATAACAGGTACTTTATAAGAGTCAGTGGCTTATTAATAATATTTGACTTTAGAAAACAGAAACCACTCTACCTATCTCCATTTACACCAGTGGTTCCCAACATGGGGCACATGCCCCACAGGGGGGCAATTTGACTTTTAAGGGAGGCATTTTGAGAATGAGTTAACAGTGAATTTTTTGCATTTCTTATGGTTCTAGGGGCCTCAGATACAGTATAGAAATACATATTGTGACATATTTATGCGTTTCAGTTTTCTATGTTTTGAAACTTTATTTGCTATTTTTTAATATCACTTCATATTATTACTAGAGGCCCAGTGCATGAAAATTCCCCCTAGTTACCTGTACCTCAGGCAGCCCTGAGCAGTTGGGCAGCCACCAGCCAAGGCTTGTCTGCACCTCGGGCCGGCCCTGGGCACCTTGGGGGGCTGAGGGGACTTGGGGACTCAAGGACTCTGGAGGCAGTCTCGCTGAGGGGACTGGGCATCACCATCTTCGAGGGTGTGGCAATCAATTAGCATACCTCCTCCTTATTGGCTGTGGGTGCTGCAATCTTTGTGATGGCATGAGAATCAATTAGCATATTCCCTCTTTATTAGATAGAATTATTTTTTTAAACAATTTCTTAGAGATTTCTTTCTCAGTACTTCAACTGTCCTTTCATTCTTTTTATTTTTTTCTTTCATGGATGCAATGTTCTTTGGGAGCTTGTTAATGGCCTTTTAGGCTTCCTCCACATGAATAGGAGTTCACTTTTTAAATAATGGGCATTACATGTCACAGGGGCAGGGGGCATCCGGATTTTAGAGATGTTTAGATGAGGCATGGCCAAAAAAAGTTGGGAACCACTGGGTTAGACAGAGGCACATAGAAAGTAGTTAATGAATGTGTATTAAATGAATATATGAGCTTTTGAGCAAGGAAAGATAAGGGCTGGGCCCAGGGAAGTTGCCCCACTCTCTACCCTTCCTGGCCAACCTCCTTCTCACTTTCTACAGCAGATAGTAGGGGCTCCCCCAAGAGTTCTGAAAAGGAACAGGAAGAGCCAGCTTCTCACCTCCTCAAAGGAAGAGCCCATGGAATTGCTTTGGCAGCCCTCATGTCTCCACCCGCAGAGAGAAAGCAGCTCTAGCGACAACAGTGCCATCCTGGTCTCTATCCCCTCAGAGCCACTTTGTAGGACCTCACAAAGGCCTCTGGGGGCTTCCAAGGTGCCACCCTCAGGCTTTCACTCAGCCCAGGTGGAGGTAAAGGAGAACAGGGCAGGAGAAAATGGCTGCAGTGCTTGTGGCTGGCACCCCCAGCTCTCACCCCACAGCCTTTAGGAAGTACCCTCAAGGATCCTAGAATCTGAACCCCTGCTTGAGGCCAAACTCCAGGTCTGCCCCTGGAGGCAGCCAGAGGAATGCCATGACCATACCTAAGAACAGGGCCAGCTGTGGCCTCGTGGAGGCTGCCAACGTGCTGAGGAGCGAGAGGGGCTGCGGCCCAGAAGGGTTCTCTCTTTCCCACTCTCCGTAGGTGAGGGAATCCCTCCAGCTGAGGTCGCGGGTGCACGGGATGCTGTCTTCACTGGAATTATCTTGCTCTAGGTCAGAAAGAGGAGGCATTGGTTTGCACTTTAATTCACAGAGCATGCTCACAGAGTACGGCCAACATCCGTGGGGTGTTTATTATGGGTCAGGCACTATTCCAAATAATCATGTGCATTACTACTCATTTAATCCTTATAAAGACCCCAAGAGGTCAGCACTGCCACATGCAGAATCTGAGGCCCAGCAAGGTTAAGTTACTTACTTAGGGTCACATAGCGAGGCAGAGCCAGGATTCAAAGCCAGCCAGCCTGGCTCCGGAGCCCATGATTTTAACACTCTATCGTGGGAACAAGGCAATGCCAGTGAAAGGGAGCAACCAAGGTGGCTGGGCGGTTAACAGAGTGAATTTGCCCAGGAGATCCAGCGAGCTGCACTAGCAATGGGCTTGAACCCAGATGGCCTTAAACCAGATTCTGTTCTCGGTCCGCTTGGCCTCAGCTCCTCTCAAAGGATGGCTCACAGCCCAGCAGCTTTGGCATCACCAGGGATCACGTTAGAAACGCAGTTCCAAGGGAACACTCTGTAACCTATAGATGAATGTCTCTATTTGCTGTGCTATGCACCTGAAACTAATACAAATTGGTGTCGAATGCAAAATGTAATAAAAAATGTAAAGAGATGAAGAAATGCACAGTTTCAGGTTCACCCGGAGCCGCTGAACCAGATTCTGCATTTTAACAAGACCCCAGTCTGCGCGTTCAGGTTTGGGAAGCACTTCAATAGGTCACACCACATGTTGATGCAGAGTTGAAAGGTGTAGCAACCCAAATATTGGTTTTTCATAATGTAGTGATCCCTCTCTCTCTCTCTCTCTCTCTCTCTCTCTCTCTCTCTCTCTCTCTCTCCCTTCCTCCTTCCCTCCTCCCCTCCCTCCCTCCCTGCCTCCCAAAGTTCCAAGAGGCTGGGTGTGACTGTCCTTCTGACTGAGAGGGTATCCTACTTGGTCCAAAGAGAAAACGACTTTCTTCAGCTCTAAGGAAAGAGAAGGGTCCTGAGGGCGACCCAGGACGATTATTTGAAATCAGCCCAGAGACATCTCGGGAGTGGCAGTTCCTGTGACACCAGATAGCCTATGACTCTGAAATTCCAGCTATTCTCTGAAGTCCTAGAATATATTTTAAATATTGTCTATTTCTGTTTTCCTCAGCCTTAGCCTCAAAGGGTACGGTGTGTGTGCACGCGCGCGCGAATGTGCATGTGTGATTAGATGTATGTGCAAAAACAGAAATGAATCACCATTTTATTATAGTCACAAGACATGAGAAGGCACTCAGACTTGTAAACAGTGTGGGCCAGCATCAGCTCCACTCACCATTTAGAACGGGGGCTGGGAACTGGCGGCCTCCAGGCTGGATGCGGCCTGTAGATATGTTTTGTGTGCCCACTAAGTGTTGGCCTGTACTGTGCTTTAATATTTTTTTATGGGTGGGGAATATGACACATAAAAATCCAGATTTTATGGTTCTTGAAAAACCAGAGTATCTAGCAACACTAGGCCTGTGTTCTAGCATGGAAACAATGAATGGAAGCCGTAATTGAACCTCCACTTTCTCATTGCCACTGACCCTGACACTCCCTATTGTCTGCTCGATGCTGAAACCATGTGTCAGCCCAGCTGCAGTTTTACTTATAATAGAGCTGAGAGGAAAGCCAACCATTTCTTAGCTCCATGACATGTGGACTCTTCACCCGCTTATACCATCTGTGGACAGTGGAGTGTGTAATCCCTGGCTTGAATGAAAGTTGGCAGAGCTCCCGTGGGATCTACATACTCTTCTAAAATTTCTAAATATAACATGAAATTCTGGCTGCTTCCTGAGCCAACGTGGAGGAATAATTTATCACTGGTGTGGTGCACGGGTATTTACTAAGCTCCTCTTGTGTTCCCGGCCTGGTGCTTGCCACTGTGGATAATTCAAAGACATGGAAGAAACTGTAGTATTGGTTGAAGAAACAAGATTGAAACCTATGAAACAACTAGGGAATAATGTGACAGAGGTTATGACCGGGGAAAGTTTTGTCTGGACAGAGAGGTGTTGTGAGGTGAGGTGTCCCTGGAAGAATAGGTAGGATTTAGAGTGCAGCATCAGGGAGAGGGGGGAGGGAGGATGTCTAAGGCGTGTACAAGGACAGCCCAAGTGTGGCTAGAGTGGAAAATTTGGGCTGGAGAAGGAGATGAGGCAGAGAAATCTAATTGAGGAGGAGGAAGTGACCGGTAAGATGGGTAAGACAGGGGAAGTTAATGAAGAGTCATGCAAGCCAAAATGAATGGATGTGCCCAGCTGGCATGGCCCAGTGGTTGAGCATCAACCTAGGAATCAGGAGGTCATAGTTTGATTTCCGGTCAGGGTACATGCCCAGGGTTGTGGGCTCGATCCCCTTTGTGGAGTGTGCAGGAGGCAGCTGATCAATGATTCTCTCTCATCATTGATGTTTCTTTCTTTAAAAATATTTTTTTTATTGATTCAGAGAGAAAAGGAGAGATAGAAACATCAATGATGAGAGAATCATTGATTGGCTGCCTCCTGCACGCCCCCTATTGGGGACTGAGCCCACAAGCAGGCTTATGCCCCTGATTGGAATTGAACCTGGGACCCCAGGTCTGACGCTTTATCCACTGAGCCAAACTGACTAGGGCTCATCACTGATGTTTCTATATCTGTCTCCCTTTCTCTTCCTCTCTGAAATATATATTTTAATGAGTGGATTTGGGGTAAACCAGAACCTAGAAATAAACAGGGAATCAACTGCTATTCCAGTCACACTGACTCTGTCTCTTCCCAGAATGTCCTGACTCTAATGCTTTGGCCAGCCTACTTGTCCTCATCCACTGTGACTTGGCTCAGACCTCAGGCCTCTGGGCCAGCTTCCTGGGAGGAGTGAGGCACCCTGCCTTTGTGCCCCTGTGGCACCCCAGGCATGAGCTCTGAGCGCTCCCTGGGAGAAGAGGTTTTGTAATTTGGGGATTTGCCCCCATGACCCCACCCAAGTATAAAGCCCTGGAAGGGGTTACTGCGTCTTTCTCCACTGGGACTCCACAGCCATCAGCAGTGTTTGGCACTTACCAAATACTCACAGCATGTTTCTGAATGAGCAAATGCATGAATGAACTAGCGCATTGCTGTCATAGTTCAGGCAAGAGGTGATAAGTGGACAAACGGAGGATCTGTCAGTATGGTAAACAAGAAATTGGTAGAATTTGGTGCCAAGTTGGCTGGTGGCCAAAGAGTCTAGAGCCATGGTCGGCTCACAAGCCACATGCAGCTCTTTGGCCCCTTGAGTGTGGCTCTTCCACAAAATACCACGGCCTGGGCGGGTCTATTTTGAAGAAGTGGCGTTAGAAGAAGTTTAAAAAATTTGGCTCTCAAAAGAAATTTCAATTGTTGCACTGTTGATATTTGGCTCTGTTGACTAATGAGTTTGCCGGCCACTGGTCTAGAGGAACTCAAATTAAGGAATGAAAGGACATCCTGACATCGAGAAATGTTGGGACTGGGAGCGGAGACGATTTCATTCCTGTATCTGCAGAGCAAAAGGTTCTCTGAGACACGGTGCCCTGTACCCTCTGTTTACCTGAGCTGTCCTTTTTTGTCTTGGTCTTTTTGCTTCTCCTGGAACTCCAGCCATTTCAGGATCAAGGAAATGAAGGGCAGAAGGGGAAAAAACAGAGATGAAATTCTCACTTTAAATCTTGTTTCTGGTTATATTTTTTCTGATACAAAAGCTTGAGAGGTAAATCTAAGCTGTAGCTCTATTGGGTGAGTGTGACACATATTAAAATACCAGAAGGAAAACTAGGGAAGGGGAGGTGGGGTGGGATGGGGTGGGGTGGGTGGGGAGCAGGCCCATGCTGCTGATTTGGCTGAGGAGGAGTGTGTGTGGCCCCATCTGTTGGGTGCTGTGTTCATTTGCAACATATAAAATCTGATATAATTGCAACCAGACTAGAGAGTCTGCCTGGAGGAGAAAAGTCATTCCCCAGAGCTTCCTTCTGGGGAATTAAGAAACTAAACGACTGTACAAAGCCATTACTGAGATAACAGCAGAGCAAAAATTAACCTCCCTCTGCTTCTCACATCCCTTTGGTCTGTTTTTACATGACCACCCAGACTGGGTTGCCATAGTTTCCTGGCTGGTCTCTCTCTACACCTATTCTCTGAAACTCTCTTCATATCAGCTGTCACTGCAACAGCCAGATGACCTTTCAACATGTAAATTGGGTCATGTTACCTCCCAGTTAAAAATGGTGCTAAGGCTCTCCTTACGCTCAAAGTCTAAATTCGTTTGCATGGCTTCCCAGGTCCTGCCTGGTCTGGTCCCTGCCCACTTTTACTAATGTCCTTCTGCTGCCTCTCCTCTTCCCACTCTGGGCTTCCTTCCCTTTCTCTAAACTCATCAGTCTTGCCGAGACCGGTTTGGCTCAATGGATAGAGCGTCGGCTTGGTCCCGGGTTCAATTCCGGTCAAGGGCATGTACCTTGGTTGCGGGCATATCCCCAGTGGGGGGTGTGCAAGAGGCAGCTGATCGATGACTCTCTCTCATCGATGTTTCTAACTATCTCTCTCCCTTCCTCTCTATACAAAATCAATAAAAAATATTTTTTTAAAAAAATTCATCAGTCTTCTTCCTCAGGATGAAGTGTCAGTCTTACGCTCATTGGTTCCCTTAACCTGTACAACATTTTCCGCCCTTTATCTGGCTAGTGCCCAAATCAAGGTTTTAATCTCCTCTGGCCTTCTGGAAATACTCAAAGCTCTCTGTGCTAGAGATTTTCAATAGGCCTCCAGGATTTCTTCTTCCCTTCTCCCTGGGGGGCAAGCATCTAATTCTGTATTGGGCACAGGCAGAATAGAGAATGCATTCCCCATCCTCCCTTGCAGCTGAGTGTGGTCATGTGACTGAAGTGTGGCCTATGAATATAAACAGAAGCTGTCCTTCAAGTAGTAATTTTAAAACTTAATTTTTAAAAAACATCTTGAGACAAAAAGTTACATCAACGTATCTTGTTCTATTAGAGTCAGGCACTCCCTAGCTCAGCAGTATAACATCTTATTCAGAAATAAAAAAAAAAAAAAAAAAAAAAAAAAAAAAAAAAAAAAGATTTTTTAAAAAATTTATTTAGGCCGAAACCGGTTTGGCTCAATGGATAGTGTCGGCTTGGGGACTGAGGGGTCCCGGGTTCGATTCCGGTCAAGGGCATGTATCTTGGTTGCGGGCATATCCCCAGTAGGGGGTGTGCAAGAGGCAACTGATCGATGACTCTCTCTCATCGATGTTTCTAACTCGCTCTCTCTCTCTCCCTTCCTCTCTGTACAAAATCAATAAAATATATTTAAAAAAAAAATTTATTTAGGTGACACTTGATCTAGAAATTTCTTAATTATAGATTTCTATATGATATGCAGAGTGGTGATCCAGTAGAAATTCTTTATCAGTGGGCAACTAACAATTTTTCTTTGTGTTAATATTTTTCTACTTCTAGCCCAAGGCAGCCTTAATAATACAATGTAATATTTGTTGAAAGTTTATTTAAATCTGCCTGCAAATCTGCTGAGGAGTGTGTCAAGCACTTGGTGTCAGGCATCACTTGATCCTGACAATATCTGGATGCGGTTGGAATTATCATAATTTCCATCGTGCAGGTCAGAAAACTGGCCCCGGAGAGTTAAGCAGTGTGCCCCCGGGCTCATAGTCAGAGCAGTGACTTGGGCCCAGCTCTGTGTGAGCTCTTACCCACTGAGAGATTATCTTCTTGGGCTCTGTTAGTTTTCAGTTTACTAAGGACACTCTGAAAGAAAACTCTTTTTGTTATTCTGTGTCTGAACTGTTGGTCCCGTTGTGACAAAAATCTATTCTTTGATAACTTTGTTTTTCTCTTCTGGTGATTGTTACAATTTATTTCTGTCCTCCCTTTAAAAAACAAAACAAACAAACAAAAAAAACACAACAAACCACCACAAATCAAGTTCACGAGGGCCCTAGATCCCACTTACTCTTTGATCTCTGCTTATAGTGCCCAGTGGAATAAGTATGCTCAACTCCTGTCTCTCTCATACCATCCAGTCTTAAGACTCAAACCTTATATCATTTATACATCCATGGACATTTCCTCAAGCATGGAAAAAATAGGCCTGTACAACGGAGCTTTCCAGGACAGACTATACATTGAAAAAGTGGCCCTAGAAGATTCATAAAGTCCAATCGGAGGCCAGGTGAGTAGGTCAAGGAACCGAAGGAGCAGATAGTGTTTTAAACGACGTTTTGTTTAATTTCTCTGTAGGACTAAGAATTGGATTAGAAATTAGGTTTTACTTTTTTTTTTTTTTTTTTTTTTTTTACAGGTATTACTAACTTATTCTTATTATTGGAGAGTTACTGTTCTTTTCTTTTTTAATCCTCACCTGGGGATATGTTTATTGATTTTTAGAGAGAGGGGAAGGAGAAGTGAGAGAAAGAGAGGAATATTCATCAGTTGCCTCTTGTATGCACCCTGACCAGGATCAAACCTGCAACCTTTTGATGTGCGGGATGTCACTCCAACCAACTGAACTGCCTGGCGAGGGCACTTTTCATTTTTTATAAGATTCCTCCTTTAGAGTCAAGCCTACTGTGCCATGTGGAGAAAGAGAATATGGCAGGGACAACATGGGTCTTGAGTGGCAGTATTTCATGCCCCTCCCTGAGCTCATTAACCAAGTTGCTTGGTTTTTGGGCCTCAGAGCCCAGGCCATCTGGGCTGCAGGAAGGGATGTCCGGCCAGCCTGATTTAAGTCATGTACCTGAACCGGTTGTGCTGGTGCAAGTCAGCAAAAATCTGAGCGAGGGCCTCACTCTCCGCCTTGGCCATCAACTGCATGAGGCTCTCGCTGGGCTGGGAGGCTTGAGGTTTCTTCTCTACTAACTGGATGAGGGTGGGGAAAAAAAAAAAAAAAAAAAAAAAGCAAAGCCAGATGGTTAAGACCTGAGAGTCTGTATTTTCCTAATATCATGATCCAAACCCGAAAGTGTTAGAACTCAAACGGTCCCATTGGGTGGCCATGCCAGGGGTTCAAAGAGGCAATTCGGAGGCCATATCTGCTTACACCCCCTGTATTATTATAAAGATCCTTTGGTGTCCAAAGGCTAATATTGTCATTGAATACTTTGGACTTAATTTAGTAGATCACCTATTCTCATTAATATACCTTAATGTTATCAATAGCCTATTCAGATAAGCTTTAATAAAGCTTATGCTACTTAACCTTATATTTAAATGTAGAGGAATAAAGTATTCATTATAGGGATTTAATGAATGTTTTAAAAATCCACTTCTCTAAGAAAAGTCAGAGATTGAGCTGCATTTTTACAACTGATTAAAATTGCCTTCTTTCCTGTTGCTGCGATACCAATGGTGTTCCAGAAGTACAAGCTGCTCACAGTCATTCATTCATTCTTCACTGAGTGCCAGCTAGGTGCCAGGCACCAGAGATAAAGCCGTGAAGAAGACAGATAAAAATCCCTGCATTCATGGAGTTTATGTTGTAACTCAAGTCAGTCTAACATCACACTCTAAGGCCTGGAGCCAAAGGCCCTCGTAGCTTCACTGGTGAATTTTATTAAATACTTAAAGGACTAATAATACCAAGTCTTCATAACCTCTGAAAATAGAGGAGGAAACACTTCCCAAATCATTCAATGAGGCTAGTATTATCCTAATATCAAAGCCAGGATATCACAAGAAAGCTATAGACCAATATTTCTAATGAATGTAGAAGTGAAATCCTTAACAAAATGCTAGCAAACCAAATCATGGAACATATAAAAGGGAGTATACATACACACCATGACTAAGTAGAATTTACTGCAGGAACACCAAGTTGATTTAACATTTAAAAATCAATGAATATAATCCACTATTCTAATAGAATAAAGGGAAAACCACATGACCATCTCAATAGATGCAGAAATAGACATTTGAAAAAATTTAATACCCATTTATGATAAAAACTCTCAATAAACAAGGAATAAAAGGGAATTCCCTCAACCTGATAAAGGGCATCTACAAAGCTCCCACAGTTAGCATCATACTTAATGAAAGACTGTTTTCCCCCTAGAATTGGGCATAAATATGTTTGCTTTTGCTATTTCTACTAAACACTATATTGAAAGTTTTAGCTAAGACAATAAGTAATAAATGAACAAATGTGTATGAATTGGAAATGAAGTAAAATTATCTATTTGCAGATGATCTCCAAATTATCTATTTGTGGTTCCCTGTGAATATATATATATATATATATATATATATATATATATATTCACAGAGAACCACAAAAATACTATATCTTTCCCTCTCTCTTCCACTCTTTCTAAAATCGATGGAAAAATATCCCTGAGTGAGGATTAAAAAAGAAAGAAAGAAAGAGCCGAAACCGGTTTGGTTCAATGGATAGAGCGTCGGCTTGAGGACTGAGAGGTCCCGGGTTTGATTCCGGTCAAGGGCATGTACCTTGGTTGCGGGCATATCCCTGGTGGGGGGTGTGCAAGAGGCAGCTGATCGATGACTCTCTCTCATCGATGTTTCTAGCTCTCTATCTCTCTCCCTTCCTCTCTGTACAAAATCAATAAAAACATATTAAAAAAAAAAAAAAAAGAAAGAAAGAAAGAAAAAAAGACAATTCACACAGTGGGAGAAAATATTTGCAAACCATATATCAAATAAAGGATGTATATTCAGAATATACAAAAACTATAGCAATTCAAGAAGATAAAACTTAATTTGGAAATAGGGTTTTCAACAAAAGACTTGAATAGACATTTCACCAGAGAAGACTTGAGCTTCTCCTCCGCCATCCCGGTGGGTTCCGTTGATTCTCCTTCGCCATGTCTTCTCACAGGACTTTCAGGATAGAGAGGTTCCTGGACAAGAAACGAGCAGAGTCAGCCCATTTCCCAATGTGTTTGGATGAAAACTGGTAATAAAGTCAGGTACAACTCCAAGAGGAGACATTGGAGAAAAATCAAACTGGGTCTATAAGAAATTGCACATGAGAGCTGGCTCACATATTTATGTGGGATCCAGGTTACCTGCACCTTTAAATAACTGAACAGATTGATACTGTCTGGACAGTTGGACATTTTAATGGGAATTTATTGGAACAATGATATTTCTCTGTAGATTTTTTTCTTCAGTAGTAGGTTGGTTCAGTAATAAATGAGACTTAAAAAAGAAGATTTGAATAGACATTTCACCAAGTAACTAAGAAGCCCACGAAAAGTTACTCAACATCATCAACCATTGAGAAAATCCAAAGTGAAACCATTACATATCCATAGAATGGCTTTAACTAAAAAGACAGACAAAATACTAGTGTTGGTGAGAATTTGGAGAAACTGAAACCCTCATGCATTGCTGGTAGGAATATAAAATGGTACAGCCACTCTGGAAAACAGTTTGCCAGAGTTTTTTTATTTTTATTTTTTAAAGGTAAAGTTAACATATGACCCAGCAATTTCATCCCTTGGAGTTGAACCATAACAAACGAAAACTATATCTATAGAAAAACTTGTACATAAATGTTCATAGCAACATTATTCATAACAACCTCAAATTGGAAACAATCCAAACATCCATCACCTGGTGCATGGATAAACAAAATGTGGCAAATCTATGCAATGGAATACTATTCAGCAATTGGAAATAATAGATTAGTTCTGGCTGGTGTAGCTCAGTTGGTTGGAGTCTTGTACAATAAAAAGTGGCGGATTCGATTCCCGGCCGAGATAGCACACAACAAATTGATGTCTCTCACATCGATGTGCTCTCTCCCTCTCTCTTTTTCTCTTTTTCTCTCTTCCTCCCTCCCTTCTTCTCTCAAAGATCAATTTATTTAAAAAAGAAATGAATTACTCATCACCTGTGATTCTGATGTGGATGGACCTGAAAAAATTATGCTGAGTGAAAGAAGCCAGACACAAAAGACTGTTGTAGGGCTTTGTTTATATGAAATGTCTAACAAATACAAATTTATAGACTCAAAACAGATCAATGTTTGCCTAGGACAGGAAATAGGAACAGAGAGTGACTTTAAATGGGCACAAGGGAATTTTTTATGGTGATGGAAATATTTTAAAACTGGGTTGTGGTGATGGTTGCACAACCCTATACATTTATTGAAAGTGTTGAACTGTATACTTACAATGGGTAAATCTTACATTATACCTCAGTATAGGCAGGTATTGCCTTCACGGGATGTTTACTCACATCCCAGCTCACCTAAGCTCTACCCCTCAGCTCTGGCCTTGGCTGGAGGTGGCAATGGTGCTCACTGACCTTGGAGTCTCCTGAGAGACTGCTGCTCTTGGGCACCAGACAATGAGTGATAAGAATCCTAGGGTCTTTGGTGGTGATGGACAGGCCCTTCTGCAGAATCTGAACTAGTCGGATCCAGAAGTGGAAGACAGTCTCAGGATGGTCAGAGTGGAGTCTTAGATAGTAGATCTTCTCTGTGACTGTCCTCAACCGCAGGATGCGTTGAAGCTGGTCACAGACTTGGAGCTCCACAAACTTCAATGGGAGTATCCTGAAGGCATGAAGGAAGACACACATCGACAACCCCATTGCTCTGATCCAACCCTGTCTTCATTAAAATGAGCAGTGTCACTGAGCTGGTGTGGTTCAGTGGTTGAACATCGACCTATGAACCAGGAGGTCACAGTTCGATTCCTGGTTGGGGCACATGCCTGGGTTGTGGGCTCAATCCCCAATGGGGGGCATGCAGGAGGCAGCCAATCAATGATTCTCTCTCATCATTAATGTTTTACCTCTCCTCTCTTTCCCTCTGAAATAAACAAACAATACGTGTTTTTTTTTTTTAAATGAGGAGTATGTCCTTCAGGACTCGGGCTTTTGGGGGTGGGAATAGGGCTCAAACTTTGGGGAGGTCATGTTCGCCTCGAGAGCTTGTTTAACATGCAGACATCTGAAGATACCCCTCAGATTCAGTAGGTCTGGGGTGTGTCCTTGGAATCTGCATTTTAACCTCCACCCACCCTGCCATGATTTTCATGCTGGTGCCCAGGAACCTGCTTGAGAGAGACAGCCCAGGAGTAGCTGGGTCACAGGGTTTTTTTCATTTCCTTCTTGACAAAGGGAGCTACTCTCCTCTGCCACAGAGTTGAGTAGCTTATCCAGTCATTGACCCTATTGTCTCAATTACCCTTCCCAAAGGTACTAAGGTTCCGGGAGCTGGATTTGGGTTGAATAATGGTCAGCTAGGGCTGGGCTGTGCTTGTTATAGGAACACTAAAGCATAATGGAGGTGTTTGTCACTGAGGCAACATAGAGAAATGAAGGATTTATCTGGATTTCTGAGAGTATTGAGAATCTTTCATTGTTATTGTTAACCCTCACTTGAAGATACCGTTTCCCTGAAAATAAGATAGTGTCTTATATTAATTTTTGCTCCCAAAGATGTGCTAGGTCTTATTTTCAGGGGTTGTCTTATTTTTCCATGAAGAAGAATACGGTACACATTTATTGCTAAATGAAAATAAAGGAAATTTATTACCTGCATACTGAACGGTAGTACGGTAGTTGTCAACACAAACCAGACAAACTGTGAATCCTACAGTATCAAGAATTTACTCATTTATTCAATGACAATCATGTCATCTTCTGTAACATCATCATAATAATCCAATTCCTGAATTTCCTGGTGAATTTCTTGTGACTCCATTTCTTTCAGAATCAGTGGACCAAATCTCTCATGTTTAGCCTACGGGGTCCTTATTTTTGGGGGATGCCTTATATTTCACTCAGAAGGAAACCTGTAAATAGGTCTTATTTTTGGAGGATGTCTTATTTTCAGGGAAACACAGTATTTTTTCTTTGATTTTTAGAGAGAGTGGAAAGGAGAGGGAAAGACAGAGAAAAATATCAATGTGAGAGAAACACATGGATTGGTTACTTCCTCTCCGGACTGGGAAAGAGCCTGCAACCAAGGTACGTGCCCTTGACTGAAATTGAACTCAGGACCCTTTGGTCCACAGGCTGATGCTCTATCCACTGAGCCAGTGGTCAGCAAACTCGTTAGTCAACAGAGCCAAATATCAACAGTACAATGATTGAAATTTCTTTTGAGAGTCAAATTTTTTAAACTTAAAACTTTTTCTAATGCCACTTCTTCAAAATAGACTCAACCAGGCTGTGGTATTTTGTGGAAGAGCCACATTCAAGGGGCCAAAGAGCCACATGTGGCTCTCGAGCCACAGTTTGCCGACCACTGCACTGAGCCAAACTGGCTAGGGCTAGAGATCCTTGAATATCCTACAGATTACTTGAAGAGGCTCAAACATTAAAAAGGGCTGTTTCTGCCGAGCCGGTGTGGCTCAGTGGTTGAGCATCGATTCTTGCTTAGGGTACCTGCCTGGGTTGCTGGCTTGATCCCCAGTGTGGGGCCAGCAGGAGGAACTGATCAATGATTCTCTCTCATCATTGTTGTTTCTCTCTCTCCCTTCCTCTCTCTGAAATCAATTAAAAAAATTTTTTTTTACAGGGCTGTTTCATCCTAGACAAGCATGATGTGAGTATATATTACAGTTCTCATGACCCTTAGTTCCACTCATTTTACTGGAAGGAAAACGAAGATGCATCAAGTAACTTATGATTCAAACAATATATGAGTCTCTTTAATTGCATGCCAAGGACGAGAACCTGCAGCTCCCAAGCTGTGCTCCATCAGCTGGATCTCCCTGCTTTCTTGCCCCTTGGCAGAGAGATTGCCTAAGAATTCTGTGGGGTGAGTGCAGTGAGAACGAACGTGAGCATGTAGATTGGCCCCTCATTCCTCTTCACACAATGTCTCCCTTTAGCCCATTGGACCAAGATGCTGGTAGTGCACCCACCATCTTAGGTCACTGCTGTCTGAAAAAATTAATGTCGCTGCTGCTGACGTCTCTGCTTTCTCCCCCCTTGAGTTTAGTGTCAAAGCAGCCTTTGCTCTGAGTCCACCCCCTCCCCCCGCTTGTCCCTCCCTCCCATGGGTGCTGCTTACCTCTTCAGGATGATGTTTGGGGCTGTAGAAGGTCTGTTCCAGGTCTGGCTCTGCCCCCGGTGCCATTTGACGCGGGCCATGAGGAGGATGTTGGGAAGGGGCAGGCAGGGCACGGAGGAGGTCACCCCGAGGGCCATGGTGTAGGAGGCTTTGTAGATGTTGATCCAGTTCCCGTCCTTTTTGACCTGCAAAGCAGCCCCATGGGCACAGCCTGAGGTTTGGCAGAAGGAGCAGCACGTTTCAGCTGAGAGTTTCTCAACTTGGGCAACACTCACATTGCGGGCAGGGTAATTTCCTGTCTGGGGGAGGGGCTGCCCTGTGGACTGTGGGTGTTAGCAGCCTCGTCGGCCTCCACTTACTAGATGCCAGTAGCACAATCCCCCACCCCCGCCCAAGTAGTGACAACCAAAAATGTCTCCAGACGCAGCCAAACGTCCCCAGGTTTTAGAAGGCAAATCATCGCTAGGTGGGAACCACTGTTTTAAACCTGTATTGGATACACAACTGTAATTATACTTACACTACCTACTGTTAGCATCTGCCCACAAGAACTATAACCAGGAGTTCCTTGGCATGTGCCACATTTCTGTGAATCCTCCCTAGACCGTTTCCTGGCTTTTTTTTGGAAAACATCCTTTGGCCCTTCTTTGAGGGGCCCTGGAGTCCCCCGCACCTTCCCTGCTCTGTAAGTTCCTGGTAATTCCCAGGCGCTGAGAGCAGAGCCCAGGCTGGAAACAGAAATGCACCGAGGGCCCCTTGTACCGAGGCCTGGGCCTCCTGGACCCCTTTGACATTAGAGGACCCTGGGATTCAGGATTGCAGGTCATTGGCACAGTGATGCCTCCTGGACTCTGAGCCCAGGTCTCTCTGGGGTCCAGCTTTTGTTCTCTCCTCAATCAGCATTTCTGTTCCATACCCTCAAAGGGCATCTTGTTTCCCTGCCTTTTTGATCGTCTGCTTTGGACTTCCTGGAGGAGGAAGTAAATTGGGGGGTTCAGATACCAGATCCTCCATTCAGCTCACAGAACGCCTGCCTCTCACCACCACCACCACCACCACCACCAACTGCCCCCCCCCTTTCCCCCCCATGACAACTGACTGCAGGAGAAGCCCTGTCTGGGGCTCTGCAAAGTCAGTGTCAAGTGGGCGTGGCCTTGTATTCCAGGCCCACTGACCGCTCCTTGCCCCAGCTCTCACTCCACTCCAGTTCCTGTGACAAACCCTCCTGGCCACCGCTAGGGAACAGGTTAGGAGGACGGAGGAGTGCCCTCTGAGTGACTCCGGAGTACCTGGACGAAGTTGCTTTCAAACACCACGGAATCAGGAAACAGGTTAAATTCTGGAGAGTGAACCATCTGGCAGAGCAGTCCCTCCTCCACACCCAGGCCCACTCCAGGGGTTGGTTCTCCATCCACAGGCAAGAGGCCCCTGAATTCTTTCCAGGCGTTGAGGGAAGAGAAAGTTGGATAGGATCTTGTAACTTTTACTGCTTTCGATTTCCACCACGTCTTTCTAGGTGGAACTGATGACAACATTTCTGCACATGCTCAGGGGCTTGCTGCACATTTGTCCTGGGACCTCTCTCTGCCCTCTGGCCTTGGGCAGCAGGCCAAGGCCTGGGACCGCCACTCAGCTCACAATGATGAATGGATGACGTCATGAAAAACCAGGGCAAGCCTGCAAGAAGGGAAATGCAGAGGAGCCGCCCTCTTCCTCCAGAGTGCTTTGCTGGCTGGTTTATGCCCTGACATTCTCCAGCCCTTCTTGGGACTTGAGGACAGGGCTTCCCCAGAGTTTGCTGAGAAGGAAGTGAGCCAGGTGGAAGTGAGGGAGGCAGTGAGCTGAGAAGGAAGTGAGCCAGGTGGAAGTGAGGGAGGCAGTGAGCTGAGAAGGAAGTGAGCCAGGTGGAAGTGAGGGAGGAAGTGGGGAGCTGAGAAGGAAGTGAGCCAGGTGGAAGTGAGGGAGGAAGTGGGGAGCTGAGAAGGAAGTGAGCCAGGTGGCAGTGAGGGAGGAAGTGGGGAGCTGAGAAGGAAGTGAACCTGGCGGAAGTGAGGGAGGTAGTGGTGAGCTGAGAAGGAAATGAGCTAGGCAGAAGTTGAAAAGCTCCTTCCACTGCTCAGAGGAAAATACTTTCCCTGCCTTTCAGTCCTCCCTCACTCTTAATGCAACCCACCTGCCAAAGTGTGTAAAGGGCCGTTTCTGTATAACCCCGCCTTCCCATGCTTTACACGCCATGGGCCCCACACGTCTGGTGTATCTGCAGAAGCCTTTCCTGGTTATGGAGGGAGTTGGTGCCGCTCTGTGCTGTGCTATGGCTGGCTGGTTACTTCTGCAGGCCTAGGTCCCTCAGGAGGTCAAACTGAAGGAGCAGTGGAAGTCATTGGTTTCTTACCCAGAGGCTGGCTCTGTGAGGGTGCCAGCTGGGAGGACTAGAACCCCGATGAGCAGCTCTGCGGGATCAAGAAGCCATTCCCCCTCTCAGAGTGAGTGTTCCTCAGTCGTGGGCCAGAGGAAGAAAGAGCCCAAGTCCTGGGGTGGCTAGATCAGGAGCGAAGAAGCAAGCTGACTGACCACTCACTGTTCAAGTCTGTCTCAAGGAGAAATGGTACTCCAATTTGGACAAAACCTCAGGATGTGTTAAATAATGCATTGACCATCAAAGTCAAATGTGATCAATTCAGAAAAGCAATTTGACAACCAATAGATGCAATCTTCAAGCTTTAAGAGTTATTTTGTATTTCATTATTAAGCCATCTGATTCTATCAGCCCCTCATTTGGTCATTTCTTTTTTAAAATATATATATTTCAGAAAGGAAGGGAGAGATAAAAACATCAATGATGAGAGAGAATCATTGATTGGCTGCCTCCTGCACATCCCCTACTGGGGATCATGCCCACAACCCAAGCATGTGCCCTTGACCAGAATCAAACCCAGAACCCTTCAGTCCGCAGGCTAATGCTTTATCCACTGAGCCAAACGGGCTAGGGCAGTCATTTCTATTGTGCTCCTGCTCAAGCACCTTTACTAGCTCCCTGGTGGGCAAAGCAACTTCTGCACCTGTTCCTCACTTTCTTTTGTTGACCATGTGGGGAAATGTCCTCCATGGTAATGTTGGGGCAGAGACTACATCCTGTGGTTTACATTTTCCTAGAAACACACAGTACAAAAAGTGATGGCAGTTAACACACTGATAGGATGCTTTTCACAGTTAAAGCTTTCCCACAAAAGGAAAGCTTATTGGCGCAGATATGTGATTTAGACGTATGTGGCCATTGAACATTCAGAAGTCCTCTGCCATTGGGGAAATGCCTCTCTCCCTTTTCCATATAATCCTATCAAACCCACTTTGCAGTGTGTGGAGGAAGGCTTTATTTAGCACCAAGTCTAGAAAGCTAAGATGAGGAGGTGGGCTTTTCACTCTAAACAAAATACTAAGCAGTGATAAAAACAGTGCTTTAAGGTGTCTGCCCCTTCTACCTACTCCACCAAACCTCAAAAACTAGCACTGTATCTTTTAAAAAGAAAACATTTGAAAAATACTTAATTTCATTGTCTCCATTCCTTTACTAATATAATTTCTGTCTGTGCACAATTTTTTTTTAGAATAAAGGCTATTATTCCAGGTTTCCCTTTTAGCGAGGTAAGACCATATGACTATGTTCTGGCAAAAGAGATCCAAGCTCCAGTATCAGGTGCAGTTTATGTAAGGAATCATTGTAGGAAGGGGACATGATCTTATTCATGCCTTGTTTTTTTCCTTTTGGCTGGAATGCACACTTGAGGGCTGGAGTTTGAGCAGCCCTTTGGGTCATGAAGCAGCATGCTAAGGAGGGTATCAGGAAGTAGCCAGTTCTTTGATGATCATAAAACTATGATACTAGTGTGAATGAGATAAATTAGGATTTTCTGTGATATTGAACCAGACCTCAAACCAGCTGATACAACTACATAAAACTACTATCTACTCTTCTGGACCAATTTTACAGGAAACGATGGCATTATTTATCAATAATTCCAAACAATGAAGAAATTATGGTTAATTTATGAGAAATTAGGACCTTAAGAATGCCTGAGATAGCTTCTGGAGAAAGTTGTATAACCATATTTTCCAATGATATGAGAAACTCATTGCTTTCCTCTTCCTGTGCATTCTGTGATATTGTTGCTACCACAATTCTTGCTTTTTACACATTTTGGTGATGAGCACTTGGGTGACTATATTTTGGTTTGAGGCTAAAGTCACTTGGGCAGTCTCAGGTATCATTTCAATTGCTCAGGAATGACCAGAATATCTGTTTGTCAGTTGGGACTAGACCTAGGTTTTGTGTTTAAAGTTTATGCAATTTTGGTACTATTAAAAATAAAAAGACTGGCCCTGGTGGGTTAGTTGGTTGAAGTGTTATCCCATACAACAAAAGGTTGCAAGTTTGCTTCCTGGTCAGGGCACATATCTAGGTTGTGGGTTTACTCCCTAGTTGGGGTGCGTTTTGGAGGCAACCAACCAATGTTTCTCTCTCTCTCTTTCACTTCCCCTCTCTCTAAAAATCAATAAAAACATATCCTCAGGTGAGTATTTAAAAAAAGATAATACAAATAAAAGACTGGAGGGAGGGGAGTACCCAGAGTTGTTTAATGGGTACAGAGTTTCAGTTTGGAAAGATGGCAAAGTCCTGGAAGTGGGTGGTAATGATGGTTGTACAACAATGTGAATGTACTAGTATGCAATGCCACTGAAGTGTAAACCTAAATATGATTAAAATAGTATATTTTACATGATGTGTATTTTCCCACAATAACAAATGGTGGAACATAAAAAAAAAATCAAAATTTAAAAATCCCACGACATAGGACAAAAAAATTGGCCCTTGGAAGGACCCCTGTGAATATGGGACCCTGAAACTTAAGTTTTATGATCTGCATGGTAAAGCTGTCCTATTTAAATCTGTGTCACTATTTACATAACTTTGTTACATAAGCAGAACATGTGCTTTGTAGAACATTAGAAAATAGAGCCAAGTTCAAAAAACAAACATCATATTCCTACCTCCCAGAAAACATGACTGTAGTAAATGCCTACAAGTATGTACCAAAATGAGATCATACTCTTAAAAAAGTTTTACAGCCAAGACTGGTTTGGCTCAATGGATAGAGCGTCGGCTTGGGGACTGAAAGGTCCTGGCTTCAATTCCGGTCAAGGGCATGTACTTTGGTTGCAGGCACATCCCCAGTAGGGGATGTGCAAGAGGCAGCTGATCGATGTCTATCTCTCATCGATGTTTCTAACTCTCTATCTCTCTCCCTTCCTCTCTGTACAAAATCAATAAAATATATTTTTTTAAAAAAGTTTTACAACCTGTTTTTTTCAGTCAACACTTTCTACATTTGTGTTTTGGTGTATTTTCATCTCATGTGATTTCCAAGCCATATAAAATTTGTCAAATTAATTCCTATTATTCTTATACTTGCTTTATCCGAATCAGTATCCAATGGAGGACCACAGTTTCCCTGTTAATTGTGATCTACTACAGTCCCTTTTTAGGACCTTTACTAGTGGAAGCAATTGAATCCGTTGTCCTACAGAACGACCCACCTTCTGGATTTGTCTGCTACTTCCTGGTGGTATTTATCTTGATTCCTTAGCAACTATATTTCCTGTGAAATAGAAGTTATATGTAAAGGGCTGTTGGATTCAGATATTGCTTTTCTTTCATGAGAATCATCAAGATTTCTTAGAAGGGTGCTACGATGGGAATCCCAAAGAATATCAGCAGGAAAATACTTATAAAGAATACATATCAGAAGAAAAATGATTTCAAGAAGTAGAACAAAGTCTTTGAAAAGCATCTTTTCTGTGCCCTCAAGGAAATTAAATACAACATGAGGCCTTATGAAACAATAGAAAATCAGAGATATCAAAATCAGATGAAAAGAGACTTGGGAATATACAGAAAGAAACAGAAGAAAAACTGATTAAATAGTCACATTAGAATCCACAAGAGGTAGAGTGGACATGACAGAAAATGGAATCAGTGACACAGATAACAGGCTTGGGACCAGGACACAGAACCCAGTAAAGAAGGACAAGGTGGTGTTGCTGGAAGGATAACGGTAAATCTGTAAGACATTTCTGTTGATCCAACAGACAGGTGGTTTCCCTGATGTAGAGGAAACAAATAGAATGGAAAAGTAGTCAAACACATAAAAGAAAAAGCACTTTCTGAAATAAAAAGACTCAATTTGGCAAATGAATAGAATTTACTCTATTCCAGGTAAACTGAACAAAGAAACCATTGAGACCAGAATAAGTTTTGTAAAGTTCCTAAGTCTTAGAGATAACTAAGCACCTTAAGACCAACATCCAGAGAGAGGAAGCAGATAATCTACCAGGGGGAATGAGATGAGACCAGCCTCAGACTTCTTTACAGCAGTTTTAGATGGCATAAGACAATGGAACAATGTAGAAAGAATGTTGCAGAGGAAAGGATGTGACCCAATAATTCCATAAATGGCCAGAGATTTATTCAAGGATGAAA